AAATTGATTTCCTGGCATCAGATAATCTTGGATCTGAAATAGAAATTTTATTAGAAATATATAAAATTAATAGACAAACAATTAAATTACGCTTTTAATAACTCACTGCTACTATAATTATTTTGCATTAAGTTATTTAAAGCGTAACAAGAATTAATTGTCCGTCTATTCATTTCATTTCTAACACAATTTCTATTTGAGATCCAAGCTAAGTTGGGATATCAATTTAAATTAAGAATCACATTCTTTCACGATGAGTTTTTAATCAACGAACTATGCCTAATAGATTTTTAATTTATCAAATTTAGTTTACTCACGACAAATCAGCTCAGGACAGCACTTTTCGTGATTATGCCTATAGAAGCAATGATTCCGCTCAAAAAATGCGCAATGGAGATACACGCACCAGAAATTGGCACTGTTCATAGAGAATAATAACGAAATTACGAAAGATGTGATAGACGAAAATAAATAATATTCTTGCTTTCAAGAAATATTCAATTCTTTTATTCATTTCTCAAATACTGTGAAATCTTGTATGTAATGTCACTGAAGCGAATTTACTCACGTTTGATTCTGATGTGACTCGCACGTACAAGCCAGATCGCAACGATTTGCGTCCTCTTTTCTCAGCTTTTCTCCTAAGCTATACTCATTGCCATTCAGATAGCATTTATCTTTCGATAAATTGTTTAAGAAACTGCAATTGTATGCTGTCGCGCAGCAATCGTCAGGATTTTTATAAATAGGAGCACAACCGAGGTCCTTGTAATATCTTAAGGGACCAGGACATTTTGTCTCGTCGCAGATCTCTTAGCAATTGGAACGTAAACAAAACTAAATTAAATTAAAACTATATAACTATGAAAAGTTTAGAATCATCCCACGAGTAAAACTTAAAGATTTCTCACCTCGGTCTGCCACGTAAGCCGTCACAAGAATAAGTGATAAAAACAAGACACTTGTATTAATAAAACAGTGTACTTCAATCATCTTACAATTTAGAACTTATAATTGTGAACTGTGCACACGCAGTCCTGAATTTCGATTGCGCCCTGTCTTTTATGCGCACCTCTTAAAGAAACATGAAACTGAACGGAAATTCCAGGTTTCACCGAATGGGAGAAACCTGTTTCGCAACACCATCGACGATTTTTATGAGACGTGCACAGGCTCAGGATAAAGGGGGAAAACCGAAGAGGGAATCAAAAGGGATAAAAAATCATTGATCTTGTATAAAATTGAAGCGATTTATAAAACACTCTTATAAAGAATAGTAAGGAATATAGTGAAGGTCAGGGTCAATTAATAAATTGTCATAACTTTTATACGTATATCTTCATAAGAATGCTACATATATATTTTCAAACATAAGTCAAGAAAACAAACTAATAACTAAGTCTTTACATTCTACCATTAGTAATGACTATAATCGTTATCTTGGATCTACCTAAGAATATAGAAAATATATCACTAAACTGTGTCGTGCGAATTTAACCTTTGGTAAGCACTGAAACTTTGTGCATTCGACACAGTTTTAATATATTATTTAAAAATTCGCAGCCCATTAGATCACTCAATCAAGGATAAACCCACTGGAAAAGGGTGGGTGATTCCTGATGTCGCATTTGTCATCCGGAAGTCGTTGGCACGTTGGGATCGGTGGTATTTCGCAAACGCATTTCACGCAAACGGAATCATAATCCGTTGCCTGATTGAGTTCGTCACCGATGTGCATTTTCATATCACCAAACACACACATCTTATCTTCTGTAAATCAATATTCCAAAGTTATTATATAGGATGTTGGAGTAAATAGTTCAGCCATGTTAAGTGATAAATGAAGAATACGGTATTATGAATATAATTAGATGGGAGCCTGGTTCGTTAAATTTTTCAAAATATTTAGCTATAACTTCACTAGATTAATTAGTTGCAGTAATATGAGTAATTTTTTAAATAGGGGTGAGGCGAAAATTAAGGAGACATACGTATACATTAAATCAGATTAAAATTCGCCTCGCTCGCGCAACTCGTATTAAGATCTGAATTTACATGAAAAGCTTTGCTTGGTTCCAGTGTAAAATTTGTTTGATCGCGATAAGCCCCGAGATATTTCGGCCAAATCTCGTGCGAAGTTCCAACAGAATCCAATATGTTCTGTCTAGAGCCCGAAACTTGTAGTTAAGAACTTAAAACAGTCATAAAAATATGACTATTCGTTCTTGAAAGTTTCAAGCTCGATTATCGGTTTCTTTGTCATCCAACTATTTTATTGCATTGGAATGAAAATTAAAATAGATTTTATTATACTCTCTAATGGCTTATTAGATTTTTTTCTTTTATGGGATGTGAAATTATATTGTTTAATAATATTACGAAGTGTATCTATGTGCAATGTAAATATGTTAATGCACAGTAAATGTTAGAAGAAGCGATGGAAGCATTAGTTTTTACAAGCATATTTTGCACGTACCTTCCTCAGAAATCGATTTGGTACTATCATGATTGTGGATAACTGAGTCGTTCGCGTTTTCTGTAAGAACGAAGTTAATCTCACTGACAAAGCTCCTCTAGGTACAGACTTACTCGACTTCTTTTTTAAAAGAAGAAACAATTTGTATTTGGACAATCATTATTTCAAACTTACGACATCTGGAAGCATAGTTGCAATCTTTCTGCGGGTTCTGGTTGTCGTAGAAAACGGGCGCACAATTCTTATAAATATTGTCGGCATTTCGGAACAAGGGAGTGCAATAAGAATTCTTCGGTTTCTTGCAGAACGGCTCGATGTTTTCACCTAAACGAGCGGTTCAATTTGTAAATTGCTACCTTCGATTCTTGTTTTATTAATATGAATAGAAATTTAACTCTGCTGGGTCAAATTGCAAACTCAGCTCTGATAATTCAGAAAATGCGATTTAAAATTGTAAACCAATTATCCAATGCGATTTCTTAAGTATTTAGAACGAAATTGGAAAATTGAAATTAATATCACTGATTATTTTAATCTGTATTAAATATTAACATTGTAAAAATTTGTTGAATTTATTATATCAGTCTTTATCTCTGTACCTGTGTACCCAGGCATGCAGTAACAGTTCAATTCGGGGTCAGATTTTGGACTAAAATATTCGCCATCCATGTAAGTTTTGCCGTCAACCTCACAGGTTGCCCTCGTCTCGCCTTCCGCTACTGAAGGATGTAAGATATATTTAAATCTATTGTTTACGTGTTCTAAGTTACGATTTAGATGTATGAATTTATGTTGGACAACGATCACAAAAATTTAATTATTGAACTAGGGGGATTCAGCATGACCGGTTTTAACTGACCTTTCGGTATGTATAATGTAAATATTGATCTAATTAGAATTACTTACAGCAAACCTCCGGTCCAAGACAACACGACTCGTGATTATTTCTGAAGAAACAATTTTCTTTCGGCGGGTAAAAACCACAATCGTAAGCCGCACAGATGAAAGCGGCACTGTTCGAAAAGCACAACAACGTATTAAAATTTAGACTGCCTTACACAGTGTGATATAATCATAAGTTTGATGATCTTATTCTTTTGACTAATTAGCATGAAGGACTTTTTAATTATACTTTTTAGTTAATTATTCGATTTATATTATAAATAATTATGTTCTCAATCGAAATAGCCTCTTATAATTATTAGAGATAATTCTGGATATCAGTTTCTTTCCAAAGTCCAGGTAACTTATGGTCCAGGGACAGATCGTATGTACTCACGTTGTATTATCGAATGATCTACACGTGCAAGCTATGTCGCAAGGATCCGCGTCCTCCGGTTTGAGCTCCTCCCCAATGTTGTACTCATGGCCGTTCGCGTAACATTTATCTTTAGCCAAATTCTTTAAATGGCTGCAATCGTATTGGATGGGGCAACATTCACCGGGATTCGCATACACTGGTTTACAGTTGAGCGCTTCGTAGTATTTCAGAGGACCGCGACACTTCGATTTATCGCAATCATCTTTGAAACAAGGAAAAATAAATGAAATCGTTCTATGGAACTCGTCAATATGCGAGGACAAAGAGCAGAACGTGATAATGTTTGACAGTAAGATAAAAATAAACATTCATTTTTAATTGATTTCATAAATATTTGATAAAAATTGACAATAAGGAGAAATTAATTGTTAATAAAAACTATTAATTTAGGTAAAGATTTTTAGTTTTCTTTCTATTTTCACAAACGAGCGTAAATCGTTGCACCTTGTCATCGTGAAGTCGGAGTGTTAACTGTCAACGTGCGTGTTTCTCGCGCTGTGATCGTGCCGCGTTTCTTATAGTCTGTCTTGTACCGAAGAGAAACATTGAACTATGCCACTAGGTGGGAGGATCGGTTATTTTATCAAATCGTTTCTCGCGAAGGACGCCGCGCCGATGAAGGCACACAATGTCAGGAAGTAAACGAAGAACGTGACTCATAGAACAATAGAGAAACGAATATCGTCGAAGGATATCCTACATGTATACTACGAATCGAAAGTGGGAATCCTTGAATGAAAATTAATCGAGCTCGTCGACTTTATGCTAATTATTATGAAATAAGATCAGTTTTATATTTCAGTGTTTCCTGAGTAAAAAATGTTACGGTAGAACTAGAAATAAATCAGGTATTAAGAACGAATCAATTTTAATTTTTCCATACAGCACTTGAGAAATCTTGAACAATTTAAGAATTTAACATTTTGTTAGAATTTTTAAGAATTTAACAAATCGTAACTTATTCAATACTTCCAAATTAATTTTCAATCTGCCCATAAACTGATTTGTTCGGCTCGTCTTCTTTCTCCTCAGCCCCTTCTTTCTCTTGTTTCTTATTATTTATCGGTAGACGTCAAACGAATTGGAACTTACTGCAGCTAACCATTATTACGGTAGATAGGTAAGTAAAGACTTTGCGAAGAGGGTTTGAGACCCGAAGAGTCGAAAATAATTCGTGTTAATGCCCCAAGAAAATTGTTATTATGGAATTCCTTGAGCAATTTCCAATAATGCAGCTAATGAAACTTTGCGACTCTCTTAAAGCCCGCCGGCGAGAAAATGAAAATTAACTTTAATTATTCCCTTCCATTGTATTTTGTTGTGATTATCTCATTTAGTTATGAAAATCAGTATAGTTTCTACAGATAATTCTGTCCACAAATCTCATTATTTCCAAATAGAATTATCGCATAATGCATTCTTTTTATGGTAAAATCAAGTATTTATTGTTTTTAAAAATATCTCAATAGCAGTTAAATGATCAAAACAAACCCAATGAAAATAAATTAACTTCAGAATATAAATGAATCCAGTAAATTGGAGATCACAAGTAACGTCCATATGTCTTTACATAATTTGACGTGTTTCTTAGAACAAGTCATTATTGTACATCCGTTAACTCTGATAAAAATACTTTTAACGCAGCTTAAGAGGAAAATGGAAACAAGACGTTATGCGTATTTCACAGATTATATAATTTTCATTTGCGTTTACGTTAGTATGTGTACTAATCGCTATGCTATCAAAATTTATTATCTTTTATCACATTACATTTTTGCGGGAAATAACCGCATTGGAAATTTATAATATCCGCAGTTTCAAAGAATAGTTGCTAAAAAAAGTATTTGTACATATACATATACTTAATAATCGAATCGTTAATTACATGTGACTTATAAATTCTGTATACTATAAACTGAGAACAAATTAAGGAAAAAATAAAAAATTGAAAATCATATTGTACCAAATGCAGTTTGAAAAATTCGTTGCTTCGACGTTCCAATAAAATCGTCCTTGACCTCGTTCACAGACTTTCTAGAATTTCATGGCAGACAACGATAAACTCCGTGAAAACCATATTATGTACCAGCAAGTTTTATTATTCCTTAACTTACAATTAGTCAAAGAACCAACAAGCAAATATGCTCTTTAAAAATTAACCCTTCTGCGTACTTAGTACTTAGAGTGTAAACGTTTTACTTAGAAACAGGTCTTCCTATATAAAATAGTTACATATAACTTCTTTCATCTTTTAAATACTTATCCAAATGTTCCGTGTTAAAATTCATGTTTGCTAATACATAATGATGCGGGTAGAACGATACGAACGGGACTTTAATTACTCTTTCAACACTTCTTATAAATTTTGCAATGTGATTTCACTCTTATTTTGCAATGAGATTCAACACTCTTATATTTTACAAAGAATTTTTGTATTTTTTCTTGACATATTTGTATTTTTAAACATATCAAAGAAATTATAAAATAATAAATGTTATCAATCTAATCTAATAACTAGACTGCGAATGTTTATGCATTTATGGATATTTCCAATAATAATTTAGAGAAATACATGTGGAATAATATGTAAGGAAATACAATATATCCAAAGTGAAATACAATTTACAATACTTAGAGGAGAAAATAAATGTTCATATGAATTACGGTTTTTTAATTTTATTCATAAAAATAGGAATTTGCATAAGTACCCGCAATCTACTCATAACACTGCTATTAAAAAAAGTACATTTATGTCTGGCATACTAAAACAAATATGTATAGTGTCGCCTTTACGATCCTCAAAGAGACGAACTTATTAAAAATTGAAGGCAAACTAAGTTCTTCCTGCCTCTAAAGGCAGAAACAATAATTGCTGAATCTAATATTCCGACATGCTATTTTATCTGTATGTTCCTAAAAGATTGTAATCATCACATATGAAAAGAGTTTCAAATATTAATTGTATTAATTATACAACAGATGCAGCTGTAATAAACCTCATTGAGGTGTGACAAGCTTAATCCTTTCACTACTACTGGGATATATACGTATGTTCGATGAGATCATTTCTCCTTATTGTGGGACACAATTCAGTATTAGTATGCCAGAGCCATGTCCCACTGGTTATTAAGAGCTTTATTAGTGTTCGAACCATGTACAATGTACATTTTGTAAATGAAAGCTTAGCAACCAGTAAATGCAAAGAAATAAAATTGGTAGTGGAAGGTTTAAATAAAAACAAAACAGATGATGAAGAGCTGACTAGAAACGTCTCAACAGAATTTCAAGAATTAGGAAGCACAGTCTGCACGCTTCATTACGATGCGTGTAGATTTAAGCAGAGCTCATGTTCGACGTTAATAATAATCCACGGATCATTATTTCGGGCGGCAAGTATACGTGTTCTGAATGTACATGTATAGTTAATTGCAAGAAGACGAACTCCGAGTACGCTTCTGTTGTAATTCGAACATAATTACGTCGTTTCGTCCTTCCCAGGTATGAATAATGATCACGTATTTACCTCGAAGGAGGATTCAGCCGTTATAAGGTAAAACGTAATATGAATCGCAATCCCAAAATATTTTCAGTCCACGAACTCACTGCACTCCGTAAATATCCATTGATCTACTCAAATTTAAGTATGTTCATTATTAATTACGATAGATGATATCTAATTTTACTTTCTATAGAACTGCAGCTTTCGAATCAATATCGTTCTACTTAATGAATGTAATTTTCATAAAATAATTGACCAATGGGTAACGAAATAATTATTAGGGCCATTTTTCGGTGATTATCACGTCCCCGCTATCTCTGAAAGATGGAACACGAAAAGTCGATATGTTGTGGCTTGAACGTCGCGCAGGCGTCCTTCAGGGAAACGTCCCCTGTTTTACCCCGATTTTTACAGATAATACAACATACTATTACGTTCAGGAAAGATTCTAAACAAGATATTTTCCACATTTAGAGAAAGCGATATTTTAATAAAATATACCTCAGCATAATCTATCATACCTCTGCAAGGTTAATAAAGCAATATTTAAAGTAAAAAATAATGGAAGGAACAATGATAAAATATTTATAAGTAGTGAATAATTTTTTATAGAATTTAGCATAAAATGTACATAAAGCAAGTTGTACGTTTTTGATTCACATGGAAGACTCACGGGCAATCGATCGCTTCGTGAAAGAATATTTCCCTGATGTATTAAATCCGCTGTCAACCACAGAGGGAATTCCAGAACAATTTGCGGTGGTTCTATATCGGAAGGGTCAGCGTACAATATACTGAGAACTGTGAGTGAAGATTAAGTACATAACAGGCATGATAAACAAACGTTGATGGAAGTTATTACGTTAATTCATTCATTATCTTAATCGAGCTCGTTTTGCTTAAACAATTCTATTGTATTTCGCGTAGTTTGTGGAAGCGAAGGAATCGTTAGTTATGGATACTTTCATAACTACAAATAAAATGGATGTTCAACAATTTCTAGACTCTCATGTACCACACGTGTCACTCGTCTCACACACACGCTTCCACGTTCAAGACGCATCACCATTTTCATTGACATGAGAACCCTCCTTGTATTAGATTGCCTCAGAAGTTTCTTTCGCTTTTATTAATAAATAATGATTATGTCCTGTTGTTGAATTATGTATGATCCATTCTACTTTATTAAGCTTCTATATCCCTCCGGAAGTAGCATAATTTGTTGTTTGGGGTTTGATAATAAAATATTGTTTTAGATTTATTTTATATCATTTATTAAACCTTTTGGCC